TGCAGTTAATTGCTAAGTTTCCTCCGACACTGAATCGAAATTAATTTCACTTAAAGCACGAGGATCTGACCGACGTCACAGAAACGCATCTCCGTACCTTCCCCGGGCCATCCCCCGGATCCCGGCGCCGATTCCTCGCCAGACCGCGGCCACCATTGCGCTCCGCCCTGGGTCGGGGGTCAGGGTTCAAGGGTCAGCGACAAGGAGCCGTGTGGCAAGAGCGTCCCCTCAATGGCGCCCCCTCTGCTCCCACCTGCGGCCGTTCCCCGCTACTGCAGCTACCGTCTGCCTCCAGTCTCCAGCCCAGCAGCCCCAGTCTGATTGCATGATGTTTAGCACCATTCACAACTCCAGATATTGAACCAGTCCGTGTTCTAATGCAGCAAGACTTGGACGATACTTCGTCTGGATGAGTGCAGCTCCAACAAGAATCTAGACACTATCCAGGACATGCAGCCTAATGTACTGGGGTTAAAGTGAAGTCCTGTCATGTACTGCTGCTGGATTTCGAGAAAGCATTTCGCAAGGTTCCCCCTTAAAGGTTGTTGTTCCATAAAGTAGGAGCTAATGGTGTAGTAGGTAATATATTCGGTTGTCACAAACCAGAGAGAATATACAAATGATTCTTTGCCTGATTATCAAGATGTGATGAATGGAATCCCACAAGGGCACAGCTCAAGAGGGCCACTAGATTGATGCCTGGATTGAGTGGATTGTCGTATGAGGATAGGAGGGCTTGTTTGCACTGGAATTTAGAAGAACAAAGGGCAATTTGATTAAGTTTATAAGATCCTGAAATGGGGATTTTTTCAGCAATAACTTCTCTGCCTCTGGGGCAGAAGATCTGGGTTCAAGTCCAACCTGTGCTGGAACGTTTCAACATATCTGAACAGACTCATTCAAAATATTTGGTACGTACTGTTTGATTTAAGGATTCTTGTGGTGCAACGGTAGTGTCCTTTAAGCCAGAAGGTTCAGATTCAAGTCCCACTTACCCCACAGGCATGTATTAACATGGTCAATCAGGTCAATTTGAAGTTGGACAAGGACAAGAACAATGTTTCCTTTTGTGGGCAAGTCCAGAACTAGATGTCTCAGAGTTGTGTGAGTTTGGAACCCTGCCTCTGGTGGTGGTGGTGGTGGTGGTGGTGGTGTGGTCATGTCACAGAACATGTTTAAGGCAGAGGTAGATAAGATTCCTGTTAGGCAGGGAGCCAACGGTTATTGAGGATAGATGGGAATGTGGAACTCTAAAGACAAACAGATCTTCATCTTGTCAAATTGTAGAGCAGACTTGAAGAGCCAAAGCCTACTCCTACTTCTAATAAGATCCTATGCCCTACAATCTTCGATGATTTATGCACATTTCTCCAGGACCTGGTCTTCCTGCAGTGTCTCTCCATGCTCTTCCCACCAAAAGGAATCACTTAACAATTCTCTTCATTAATCTGCCACTTTTCCCTTTTACCAAACTAACTGCCTTTTTGAAATTCTAGATTCCCGCTCTGTGGATCATTATGCTTCCAGATGTTGTATTTGTTCCAGTGTTGCAGTGATAAAGAAGAACTGTAGGAAAAGAGAGAGCCAGTCCTGGATGTCTGAGGAAATAAAGGAAAGTATCAGATTGAAAAAACACACATACAAAAAAACAAAGATTAGTGGAAAACTAGTAGACTGGGAAATCTTTAAAGGCCAACAGGAAGTCACAAAAAAAGTTATAAAGAAAAGTAAGATAGATTATGAGAATAAACTAGCTCAGAATATAAAGGCAGCAATAGTTTCTATAAATATGTAAATCGTACAAGAGTGGCGAAGGTAAATATTGGTTCTTTAGAGGATGAGAAGGCCAATTTAATAACTGGGAATGAGGAAATAGCCGAGACATTAAACAATTATTTCGTGTCGGTCTTCACTGTGGACGACACAAATAACATGCCGAAAACTGATGGCAAGAAGGTTATAGCAGGTGAGGACCGAGAAACTACCATTATCACTAAAGAGGCAGTGCTGGGCAAGCTAATAGGGCTAAAGGTAGACAAGTCTCCTGGCCCTGATGAAATGCATCCCAGGGTACTAAAAGAGATGATGGGGGAAATAGCAAATGCACTAGTAATTATTTACCAAAATTCACTGGACTCTGGGGTGGTTCCCGCAGATTGGAAAACAGCCAATGTGACGCCACTGTTTAAAAAAGGAAGTAGACAAAAAGCAGGTAACTATAGGCCAGTTAGCTTAACTTCGGTAGTGGGGCAAATGCTTGAATCTATCATTAAGGAAGAAATCGCAAGACATCTGGATGTAAATTGTCCCATTGGGAACACCCAGCATGGGTTCATGAAGGGTAGGTCATGTTTAACTAATTTGGTGAAATTCTTTGAGGACACTACTTGCATGGTGGACAATGGGGAACCTGTGGATGTGGCGTATCTGGATTTCCAGAAGGCATTTGACAAGGTGCCACACCAAAGGCTGCTACAAAAGATAAAGTTGCACGGTATTACAGGAAATGTATTGGCATGGATAGAGGATTGGTTGACCAGTAGAAAGCAAAGAGTAGGGGTAAATGGGTGTTTTTCTGGTTGGCGGTCAGTGGCTAGTGGTGTGCCTCAGGGATCAGGGTTGGGACCACAAATTGTTTACAATTTACATAGATGATTTGGAGTTGGGGACTAAGTGTGGTGTGTCAAAATTTGCAGATGACACGAAGGTGAGTGGGAGAGCAAAGTGTGCAGAAGACACTGAAAGTCTGCAGAGGGATACAGATAGTCTAAGTGAGTGGACAAAGGTCTGGCAGATGGAGTACAATGTTGATAAGTGTGAGGTCATC